AGGAAGCCAGTACTGCTTCTTCCTCTGCTGTAAGTGCATTACAGGACAAATCCATAATAAGGCTGAAAAGACACAGGGCAAAAGGTCACACAACCAGCACAACACACAAAAATAGCACATCAGTAAAGCTCCGAATAACAAAAAAGTTGTTTTGTGTTTTTTTTTATGAATTAATATTGATTAAAAAAGACGATTTCAATGTTTCTGAAAAAATTATCTTACCATCACCATAACGACATTTCTTTAATAAAAAAAATGAAATTGTAAAATATTCTTAGAATTTCAAACTGAAAAACTTTTCTATTTTAATGTATATTAAAATTAATATTAAATACATTTTAATTTATTCCTGTAATACCATATGGCTGTTTTGTTTTTTTCAGTGTCACTTGATATAGTGGTCAAGAAACATTAATTATTATTACCAATACTGAAATTTTTTTCAGAATTCTGTGATAAATAACATTTTGAAAGAACAGCATTTAAAAATATTATAATGATAAAAAGTATTATTTATTATATTATTATATTAAACATTATGCATGTATTTACTATCACTTTGTACAATTTAATGCATCCTTGCTAATTTAAATTATTCATTTAGCAAAGAAAAAAGTTTAAAAAAAAAAGTTTTGTAAGGTATAGTATGTAACTGAATCAGTATTAGTTCAGTGTGAACTCAAAACTCAAATTAAACTTAAGAGGAAATGTGAGGAGATCGGTTTCATTAAAGGGGTCATATGATGCTATTTTAAAGATCATTATTTTGTGTATTTGGTGTAACAGAATATGCTGACATGCTTTAATGTTCAAAAAACACATTATTTTTCAAATACTGTACACTATTGTAGGTCCTCTATGCCCCGCCCAGTCTTGTACACTTCTAGGTCCATAAAATGCGTTCATCTTCGTCCATAAAATGCGTTGCACAAATTCGAAAACATCTGGGTTGTGCTGTTCTGTTGTAAATAAATCTTAACCAATGATTCCTAATTGCATCTACTTCCGGAAGGCCAAATAAAGTGCTTTTGTGATTTTTTTTGACAGATATTGCGATTGCAATTTGATTTGCGATTTTAAATTTGCAAAGTCAAGCTTCAGCTCAGTATTGTCAATAATGTGCAGCACAGTATGGGTATCATTACCCTGCTGAAAAAAACAATAGAAACCATCACAGAAATTCTTATTAGGGATGCACGATATATCGGCCACCATATCGGTGTCAGCCGATAAATGCTCATTTTTTCTGTTATCGGTATCGGCCCAATAAGAAAATTTGGCCGATATCTTAAAGCCGATAAATAATGCATTATTTCCTTCAGAGACACTTCAGATGCGCGCTGTTCGTTTGCAGCCTTTTGTGCAATTGTACGTTGTAATATTGTGTTTATTTGATGTATATCTGATTTATCTCATATAGAATGCGTTTGGTTAAGTTAAAAGAGCGCTTCAGTTTACCAGTGATAAACTCATACAGCAGTGCACAACATTAATAACTATGATTGGGAATGTCGTGTATATAACATTCTAATGAGAACATTATTATAATAAAACGTTGTGAATTCTTTGGGTTTAGTTGCCGTGTTTCAGCGCGTTGTTATGGGAAGAGCGCATCCACAACGGGATCACACATTCTGACTATAGCATGCAATAACTGCATCATTTTGTACATATATAAGTTGTATTATTATGTTTATGTTGTATTAATATTAATCTCAGGATGCATTTCCTTGATTTAAATAAGCTGCCAGCAAAACGCTTCAGTTTACCGTGTTCATTCAGCTCTTCAGCTTCAGCACGCGCAGCTCAAACGGCTGCTGTTTAAAACAGTGGTATTAATTTGTTACTTTTTCAAAATCATTGATACATTATTAATAATAACAACCACTTGTATTTTTCTATTATTATTTTCATCAGCAATATGGTTTAGTAATTAAAATCATTTAATTATTGTCCGTGCAGAGGCTATTCCGTTTTATTGATCTATGGCGCATTCATTTTGATTCTTTACACGTGTAATGATGTCCAGTGACTTGTTTGCATTATTTTATTTGTAAGACTTTTTTATGACTAAATTTGGTAATGGGAGAGTAAAATTATTTTTAAAACATACACCGTTCAAACTAGGCTGCTTATGTTGAAGTGTTCGGGATGTGGTTTTTAATGATGAGACCTTTTTTGTAATCAGGCTCTCAAAAAGTATATAAAAATTTGGATATAGATTTATCGGCCAACATATCGGTTATCGGCTTTCAAAAATAAAGAATTATCGGTTATCGGTATCGGCCAAAATTTTCATATCGGTGCATCCCTAATTCTTATAGTTTCCATTACACCATTACAAAATTCCTTTTTGTTTTGGGCATTATTCCAGTAGGAATTACTGTTGTTCTATTGGTTGCCATCTGCCAGATTACATCCCACCAATAGAATCCATCAAATAGACACCATTATAGTTTACATTAAAACCAAACAAATTCCCATTATAACCCTGAAATCCATTACATTTGTTATTGTGTTTTGGGAGGGGTTCTATTGTTTTTTTTCTTCAGCAGGCAAGATTATAATGGTATAACTACTTTTACAGAATTAACTTAATTACTGAATTTCACAGAAAATATTGGTTTATTTTTTATAAATAAAGAACTGTATTTAGTCAATTATTAAATTATTACATATGTTACATAGGCTGATTTATTCATTTTAAGTATTTGGGATTTTAAGAGCAAGTGGAAAATGTGCTGAATGTTTAATTTCATCCAAGTGAAATTAGCAAGCAGTTAGACTGAATTTACATTCGTTTTAAACGCGGAGCCAGGCGCGAGTCGACACCGGTTGCACGCGTGCGTCAAGCCTCGTCCATACTGCCAGATGCGCTCGTGAAGACTAGTGGTGTGGAGCCGGGTGCGAGTATAAACGAGCATTACGAGACAGGCTGCGTGAGTGCGGCATGCATGAACGGCTCATCCGTGAGGCGGGATTCACGCCGCGTGGGGCAGAGGAGCGAGTATGAGAGGCATTCACAGACACAGGCTGTGTGTGCGCGCTTCTGAATTGGGAATAGCCAACATGCATTATAAATTTATTTCAAATTAATCTGTTGGGGAGATAAAATGTGTAAGATAACGTTCACGTACTAACAAAAATATCTAAGAATGTATCTTTTATTCTCCAGTACTGAAAACAGAACCGATACGGGAGCTTTTGATATGACGCAGCTCTTGGAAATTACCCTTTTTGTTCGTTGTCTGTCATTTCGAAGCTTAAATTGCATACGGTTTTATTTAGTTTTAATTTGCCAAACTATCGATCTGACCCAGTAGACGACATAATCCCACTCTGTCTCTCTCCCGCTTTCTGTTTTTAGTTTTTTTAATGGTGGGTGTTTACGCAGTTGGCTAGAGCAGTGCTGATTGGGGAGAACGGAGGTGCGCTCACTCTATTGGTTAGTAAGACTGCAACTCAAGGCTGGCAGTCATGCATATGCTCTGGAACAGAGTAATATCACGTCCACATTGCAGGCTTTGCGATTAGGAAATCTCAACGTCTCAAATCGCGATTTCGATTAATCGCACAGCCCTACTTGTAACACTTCAAAGAGAAAGGAAAACCTGAAATCGCATCATATGACCCCTTTAATCTAGAAAAGGAAAACAGCTCAGATCAGCTGGGCTCCTGAGAGTGACAACACTGAGAATCTTTTCTTCGGTTCTTTCTCATCCATCACTTCCTCTGAGAGACAGAGACCGAGGCTTATGGAACCCACACGGGTTTTCAAATGTTTGTGTAAGAGGTTCATCTAGCAACCATTACTTGAGACAAGTGCTCTTTAAGTGCCATTTCAGGAAGGGAAAAATTCATTACAATCAAGTGTCCAACCTTCAGGGGGTGTTCTTACACCGATTCTTCAAACTGTTGCAGTGCAATATCGCATGTTAGCTCTCATCTATTTAAAATTTGACCTCAGCTGTGCATTGTGAAAAAAGCTACAGAAATACATTTGAATTGAACTGAATAGCTGTACCAGTCTGTACTAGATAGATAGATAGATAGATAGATAGATAGATAGATAGTCTACAAAACATACATCATCTCTGAAAGCAGAACATGCTCGTTTGAGAATAGTTTTCATTCTCTCACACATAATGGTTTTATGAACAGTGCTCTAATATTGCGTTATACTATATTGTGCATAAATCCCATGAGTCAATTATGTAAAGCCACGCCCCGGGTGGAGACCACACCCGTTATAAATAGAACTCTCGCTCACATCTGCGCCAGACAGCATAATTATAATAATAATAACAACAACAACTGGTCACTTTAAACATACAATTGACCAGCGCGAGGTTTGCATAAGCATCACCACCAGCGCGTGCATGTTCTAATCAAGAGTAGCGTTTGCAACACTCCTAAACGGATCTCCGTGCAGAATCTACATTATTAAACTAACTTAAACAATGTAAAACAGGAAAATTATTACAATCATGCCGTTATGGCCATTAAGGCAAAACGTCATTTACACAGCGCATTTTTAATAAAAATGTATAATACAGTAAGTCATAAATAATGTATTGAGATGCAGTATTCATAGTTCAAATACGCATTGTGTGATTTAGCCAACTATACTGTAATTAAGCTATGACTGAATCAAAGTTCTTCTGACAGTACATGGTTTACTATGATGGATGTCCATATCACAAATGGAATCAAGTGTTACCTAAATCAGTGAAGCATGTGTTAATTCGTTTTAATCGTGTATCTGGTTTAATATATAAATGAGTATATATAATGGGCTCGGTGTGCTATAATTATGAGATAACTTGACATTTTTTATAATTGTAATATTCTGTAAACTGTTTGCCCATCTGCTCACGCTCATACGGATATCAGCGCTCGAGCGCTTAGCCAGCTAACCCTGAACTACACAAACCTTTACATTTATGACCCCTATCTTGTTATTAACCTTACACCTAGAGAGGACGAAACATATGTCTTACCTTGGTGAAATTCCTGCAGGCGTTTTACCCTTTATTGACCTAGTCCTCGTCGGAAAGCAAAAAAAATCCCGCACCCGTCTTCACTGTCTCAGCCCAAGGGCGGTAACACAGGAAACCAGACACTAGAAATGCCCTGGTGATTGACATTCACAACAGCCAATCAGAATGTAAGAGCACGCCCATAAACCACAGTTCCCGCCTACTGGAAACACGCAACCAATCAGACAATGTATAATTTTAGAGGTACAAAGGAGCGTGGGATATGAAGTCCACAGGTGGCGTCAATATCAGCGTGATTATGTCATTGAATTATTCATAGATTATTAAGTATTTGAATGTTTTTATATTCATTGGTTTATTTGAATTATTGCATTTTTTGAGTTTTTGTCAATAAGTAAATTATTACAATTAGAATTTATATTGTTATTAAATGAGAATTTTTAGGTGCTTATATACCAATCATTCATTTTAGCATTTTTTTTTTTGTTTATTTGAGTATTTTTCCAAATCATTCCTTTACAAGGATTAGCAAGCAATAAGATACTTGTGGAGACTGTAGTGAAACTGGCCAGATCAGTGCACACACTGCTGAATGAGGTGTCGTCCACCTGAAATAAAATCCCCAGAGAGGGGGATGAGGCATTTCAAAGCATTCTTTAAGGAGAAACTACACTCTACATTGTATAATAGACTCGGCAAAGATCTTGCTTCATTTCGAATGTCAGATGATTAGAGAAATGCATTTTTTTTGGTAAAAACAAAAATGCAAAACAATAAAAAACACATTGCATTTCCAATGAACTGGGCTACTTATCCTCAATCTGAATCAGAAGCACTTTTATGAATATGCCTATTGTAATAGATTATGCCCACTTATTTAATAACTTATTAGTTATTAAAAAACCTTATGTGGATGTGTGGTATGTTGTTTTCAATAATGGCAGAAGTCTATTCATGTTGCACAGTGATGATGAACAAGACCTTTTTCAGCCATCAGCATTACATCATGTCTATCAGTCATCAGAGAATATCAGTGCCAGGTACTTTTTCAACAGTGTGTGAGGAAATGACACCAGACTCAGGGATAAAGAATAGTAACTAACTATGTTCTACTACTCTACTTCTACCTATCTTGCTCATCCATTCGTGAGCAAGTGATATAATGCTACATTTCTCCAAATCTGTTCCAATTAAGGAACAAAATCATCTACATCTCGGATGGCCTGAGGGTAAGGAAATTTTATGTTCTATTTGGGTGATAATGAACTTAGCTATACTGCTTGAGTAACCAGTCAAGCGCTACAGTTTACAGGGTACTTGAAAGACAAGTTCATTAAACTCAACAGTAAAATAATTCTGGTTTTGTAAAATGTGTCATTTTCATGAACTCAAAAGGAAAAGTACGTTCTAAATACTCAATCAAGGCTACTTCAATAAACAAATATACTCTTATTCTCTTATAATATTATCTGATTCAAAAGTGTACACCTCCCAGCACATAATGCATCACATTGCGTTAAGCGAATGTTATGGATTTTTGTAATATTTTTTGTCGTGAAGATGGAAAACATGTCTTTGGAGAGAAAATAAATGACCTGTAGGCCTACTTTGGGTGTCTTGTTCTTTATATTTATTTTTATATAAAACCAGTGCACTTATTTCACTCCTCCCCTGACTGCTTTGGCTTCTCAAACTAACCTAATGATTCAGTGCATGCAAGGGACTTTTGTCTGCATAGAATATCTCCAGGGCTTTAACTTTAGAAAAAAAAGCAGGGCTTTTATTCAGGGCTTTTTATTTTTTATTTTTTATTTTTATTTAGGGCTTTATTTGACCCTCTAACTCTAGCACTTTCTTATTCTATTTTAATTCTGCTTTATCTATATTTATCTTCTTTTTTAATTTTTTTATTTAAAAAACAAAACAAAAAAAACATTAGCTTTCTATTTTTTCTATTCTATCTACTTGTTTTTCTTTGTGTGTGTGTGTGTATAATATATATATATGTAT